TATATATATATATATTTTTTTTTCAATAAAAACTATAAATATTTTAATAATAATATAATAATAATAAAATAATAATATTATATATAATTAATAATATTTTTGTAATACTTGAACTGCTTAATGTAAATGCATTTTGTCACACTGTGTGTTCCTATGAAACACAGAATTTATTTCCTTTTTACTAATATGAGGAATGCTGAACTTTATAGATCTTGCGTGTAAAGTGAAAAATCAATTAGTCGAAACAATATGATTTCATGCTCAGTATAAATATAATATATATGACGTAATGTAATTTATAAATAGAACTTTTTTGCTGTATGGGGGATATGCCCACTGCCCAAAAATAGTTTTAGCGCCACTGCAATGCTGCTCAAACCTCTGTGGCGTGCGCTGTAGTATTTATTTATAGCCAAACGATTCAAAATATGCCATAAATCGCCAACTATTATAGTGAGAACTAGGGTTATATCAGTGTTATAGTACACATAGAGGTTGTGGAGGGCGTCACTTACTGGAAATATGACGGGCATATGTCAACGTGACGACCTTGGCCAGCAGGCAGGCAGCCGAGCAGCCATCGTCCTGGTTAGTAGCTTGCGCCTCTTGCCCCCTTGTGCCTGGCCCCTTGCCCCTTGCTGCTGTGTCCTTTGGGTTTCTTTTGTGGCGCTCTTTTGTCTGCAGCACGCCATTGTTTAAATAGTTCTCAGCTGTCTTATGGGAGGCATATCAAGTCTCATGGTTTAATTAATTCTTGTACAGTATTTTTTTTTATAAAATATTCTTTTATGAAGGTTTGCTATCGGGACTCTTAATTGACACTAATAATCACTATTGAAATGTCTCGACATACGTAGAAGCAGTTGAGAAGCTATAATGATCATTGCCATTGCCATTATCTTGCAAATTATTGTAATTGACATGTTTAAAATGATATGAATAACTCTGAAAAAACCGTTATTAAATTATATATATGTGCAAATCTGACCTATCTTTGGCATCTCTAACTACATCGGATAACCGGTCAGTTCAAGCATTCTCCATACTTATCAGCCAACATCAATAATCAAATGACAGACAGTTACGAGCATGAATAGCCCATTGAAATAATTCACATGCAGCTTAACGGGCCGCCCCTTCCAGTTAAAAGTGCCTGTGGGACACGTGCTCAGTGGGGCGCGACCTTAATGTACAACCAAATTGCGCCAATTTAAGCAATATGCAATTTTTCCTCAGTTCATTTTTCCAATTGAAAAGCGCACTGGGAACGCGCGAGAGCAGAGTCGGGAATACCGCAGTTATTTACAAAGTTGTGTGCTGTGTCTTTGTTAATTTCAAGATATATTTGATATTCATTAAGCAGCAGCTATAGCAAGGGTAGTCCATCTGGAAACCTGAAAAAGTCCGAGTTAAATATCTATTTTGTAAGATATAGATATATTTATCTATGAAAATATTTGTATTTAAAATAGATTTGATTACATTGTAAAGAAAATTACACTCAAATAGTATTAAAATATGTTAAAACCAAAAAAAAAAAAAAAAAAATAAAATAATATTATCGAAAAGATTTAAATATCTCATATTTATAACTCTATTTATTGCAGACATGGTGAATAGCCTTTTGACGTGGAAACAAATTTGCTGTCCTAAACGTCAGGTGAGTGACAAAGTGAACAACAAATTTTGACATGAAGTTTTCATCACCCTCCATTTTGCAGTTAACCAAGTCGAGTACCATCAGCTCCTATTCAACATAACAAGAAACTACTTTGCAACAACAATACTAACTTCACTCAATCAACAACAACAACAACAACAACAAGACGACGAACAAGGAAAACTAAGTTTTTCATTCGATTCCAATTAGAGCTTTGGAATTTCGTCGTTAGTTATAGATAGAGAGCGAGAGAGGCGGAGAGGGAGAGAGACGGAAGGGGTGCAAAGTTTTTTTTTTTATTAATTTATACTTAATATAATCTATTTTAATCAGTATTTAGTGTCCAGTCCAGTTTAGCAATAAGTTGTGTGTTTAGGTTAACGTAATTTATTGCATACTTTTAGGCAGGCCGAGCTGAGCATTTAGCTTCAGCTTCTGGGTAGGGAAGGGCTCACAGAGGACGTCAGGAGTTTTCGCTCAGATTTCAGCGTATCCTCGATTCGGTGTACTGCACGCGTCTACTTCAGTTTTTCATTATGAAAATAACAACAATGAAGTCTAAGCGCAAATATGGCTGTTTAGAGAATATTTGAAAAGAACTTTTCAATTATTAATAATTAAGATTATTTTTCCGTATATCATTTATTATTGTAGCATTGTATTTTATAGTTTTCCCCAAGAACACTAATTTTCTTTGCACAAAGTTCGTAATATTTCATTTCCTCTACACCACACAACACTATAATAATTTCAATTCAAATTCAATTTTCAATATCTAACACTAGTTAAAGAGTTCCAAGAACAGTCAGACAGACAGACAGGGAGACGGTTAGGCTGTATGATTAGGGGCTAGAGTTGTTTGTTGTGTTTTTGTTTTCCTTGCGAAAAAACGGAGTTTTTGTGATCATGGAGAGCTATTCAGCGGATCTGCTATGGATGGTAATCATTGGCTTTCTCATTGCCTTCGTTTTGGCCTTTGGCATCGGCGCCAACGATGTGGCCAACTCCTTCGGCACTAGCGTCGGCTCTGGCGTTCTGACCATACGTCAGGCTTGCGTCTTGGCCACGGTCTGCGAAATTTCTGGCGCTGTTTTAATTGGTAAGTACAAAGCACATATAACAACAAGAGCAGAGCTTTACGTAGTTCAAATAAGCCTTTTCAGTAGACTTCAAAGAGAGGTATTCATAAGGAACACGATTAGTTGGTCCTCTGGAAGATGTTAAGCAAAAGTCGTATTGCTTAAAGGCAAAACATAAACGATTTAAAGTTTATTTATGCGCGAAATCTTTTCAATTACCCTTTTCCGAATCTTAAGCCGCATTAATGCTTTTGTTTTTAATTTTTTCTTTATTCTTTGATAGTCGTAGAGTCCTTTATTAATTAATAAGTTATTTACATATTTCTGTAGAACGAAATATGTACTGCCTGATTAGTATAGTTTACATAAAGTTGACCGTCAAGTTGTGATTTTATAGGCTTTTCGAAACATTTATATGTGAAGTTACTTAAAGCTGAGACAAATCCAAAGTGGAGTGTAAAGTTTTCGCCATTTATCACATCAATGTTGATTCGGCTTTAATGTAGGTTAAAATTGAAAAGCTTATAAAGGTAAGCAATTGATTCCCGCTCCAAGAATGTTCGATTTGTATTTGAATTATGTCTGCTGCTTATGTGAGTATTAAATCTGACATCACATCTCTCTTGTCTTCCTTGCTGCGCAGGCTACAAGGTATCGGATACAATGCGAAAGGGGATTCTGGAGGTGAGCCTGTACGAGGGCGCCGAGGAGGTGCTCATGCTGGGCTGCATGTCCGCACTGGCCAGTAGCGCCATCTGGCTGCTGGTGGCGACATTCCTGAAGCTGCCCATTTCGGGAACGCACAGCATTGTGGGCTCCACCATTGGCTTCTCGCTGGTGGCCCGTGGCGTGCAGGGATTGAAGTGGTCGACGCTGTGCACGATCGTTGGCTCGTGGTTCATTTCTCCAGTGATGAGCGGCTTCGTCAGCATTCTACTCTTTCTGGCCATACGCCGCTTCATCTTGCGCGCTCAGGAGCCACTCAAGGCGGGCTTTCGTTCGCTGCCCATTTTCTACGGCGTTACGTTCTTCATTAATGTCATCAGTGTGGTGCTGGATGGGCCCAAGTGTAAGTAAAAGCGAAGAAGAAGTTGAGAATGAGTAACCGAACAATATGAATTTGTCTACTTCATCTGTAGTGCTCTATATGGATAACATTCCCACTTGGGTAGCGTTGAGCGTCAGCGTCGCACTATCGCTGCTGGTGGCGCTCTTGACGCAGCTGGTGGTGGTGCCGCTGCAGCGACGCTCGATTGCCAAGAAGTTGCGCGCCCAGAATCCGGTCAAGTTCAATTTCGAGGACTCTGTGGGTAAGTGGAGAGCCGACTGAGCAGCAGCCGCTGATGCAGACGCAGCATTTACTTAGCTTTCGATTTTACGTAGAGTCTTCGCCGTCCGGCAGCCCGAAGAAGCAGCGCCGTCCGCTTTCGCTTGTTAGCGAGGGTAAACCACTGCCGGCTATTGCCGAAATCACCGAGCTGGTCTCGCTCAGCGACAATTCGCCGAAGACCTTTAAGCTAGCGCCTTATGGCCTCGCGGCCAAGAATAACAATGCAACTGCCGAGGACTACAAGATAGATCCAGAGATAATACGCAAGGCCGAGGATCTGCTGGGCAAGGCCAGTCTGGATAATCCCGATCTGACCGTGACCAGCCTGAACTACATTGATGAGCAGCAGCAATTGCAGCACCAGCAAAATGGACGCAAGCTCCAGGAGTGCTTCAAGCGTGTCCAGTCGCCCAAGGAGGAGCGCAGGACGGACACAGTGGACAACGCCAATGTTAATGCTAATGCTAGCGCTAATGTCAATGTTGCTGCCAATGCTAATGCTAATGCGAGTTCAACTGCCAATGCTACCAACAACAATTTGCAGGTGGTGCAAAGTGCCGGCAGCTTGGATCTAATGATCAGCACCACATTGTCGCCAAACTCGAGCAAGGTTCCGCTCATCGAGAGCAAGGAGGCGCTCAATGAGCAGGAGGAGGAGTTTAAGCGTGCAGCGGGTCGACGTGCCAGCAGCAGCCAGGAATCCCAGGAGGTGTCCATGCTCTTCTCGTTCCTTCAAATCTTGACGGCCACCTTTGGTAGCTTTGCGCATGGGGGCAACGATGTTAGCAACGCCATTGGACCACTCATCGCTCTCTATATGATCTATCGTGAGGGCTCCGTAATGCAGAAAGCAGAAAGTCCCATTTATATATTGATCTACGGCGGCATTGGCATCTCCGTGGGTCTCTGGCTGTGGGGACGCAGGGTCATCGAAACCATTGGCAATGACCTAACAAAGATCACCTCATCAACGTAAGTATGAAAATGAAGAGCAAATATGATTAAGGGAAGAGGGAATGATTGGAAAATAAACTATAGGATAGGCAGATGAATTGGGAGAGTCAAGACCCTCTTTTATGAGGAGCTATGTGAACAAAGAGAGAGAGAGGCAGAAAAACAAAGAAAGCTATAGAGCGACCGATAGAAACGGAAAGAAAGAAAACGGAAAGAGCGGGACAGAAGAGAAAGACAAAGGCGAGTGACATGAAAATAAATAGAGACAGAAAGAAGAAGACTTGGGGAGACAGAGAGAAAAAGTGAGTAAATGAGCGAGAGATTCGTTTATCCTATTTCATATTCCACTTTGATTTATTATATAGTAATAACATTGGTTCATTATCTTTTTATTTTCAGAGGCTTTACCATTGAAATAGGCGCCGCCATCACCGTACTGCTGGCCAGCAAAATTGGTTTGCCCATTTCGACGACACACTGCAAAGTGGGTTCGGTGGTTTTCGTGGGTCATGTGAGTGGAGCGGGTCGCAAGAGCGAACGTAAGGAGCACGAGAAGGAGCTGGGCGGGCCATCGGAAGAGCAACATGCAGCGGCACCGCCAGCTGCTGGGGAAGCCATGGAGGACGGTAGCGTCGATTGGCATTTGTTCCGGAACATTGCCTACGCCTGGATAGTCACGGTGCCGGTGACAGCGATGCTCAGCGCTGGGATGATGTACGTGCTCTGCGCCCTGGTCGTGAATGATGTGGATCCAGTTTAAAGAGGCTAACTTTAATAAACGTCGTCATTCAATTATTAATTGTAAAAGTAAATTAATGTTTCGTAATTGTACCAGTTGATAAAGCAAAACCAAATGAAAAACGTACGAAAAAAGCAAAACAAAACAAACAACTACAAATTTAAACTTAAACCAAATTACTCACCTAACTAAGCGAAAAAAAACATAAGCAAAAAACAAAAGTAATGAACATGATAAAGAAAAGCAAAGCATTTTACTCAACGTCTGAACATAACTGATATTGGTATTGATATTGTTTATATATATTCATACGCTAATGTTAACACTTAGACAGAGCACTAATTACATCTGTTTTTTTTTTTTTTTTTATGTTTTTGTACTCAAATATTTTGTATTTATGTTTTTAGTACTTTGCCCAACATATTAATGTCCAGTGCAATTGTTTAATGCATTCCAACAAACACGAAATTATTTCAAATCCCTTTTTTTGGACAGCTTTAATAAGTATTTTACATTTTATAAATTACAAAGCAATAGAGCAGAACTTATGAATAAAATACAAACTACTACAAATTTAAAGAGAACGAATTCGATTTTACTTAAGCGCAGTTAAACATTGAAAAAGAGCTTACCGCTAAAGATAGCTTTTCTCTTTGCTCCTAAAGCTTAATGAGCTAAATGAATTTAAAGACAGAAATTATTAGCATTGCAAATTAATGCTTAAAACTTGTTTTCGCCAAGCAAAAGCTCTCGCGCTCCGTCTCTCTCGCTCTCTGTCTCTCTTACTGCTAGCGCAGGCATGCAAATGATGCTCGGAGAGCTTTTCTTTTGTGGCGCAACTTTTGAGCGCCGCTTGGAGAAGTCGTCGCAAAAGCTGCCGGCAGTTGAGTCTCGAGCTTCGATGCGTTCGGTTGTGTTTCTTATATCGCTACTTGGGCCTTGCTCTGTGCCCGTTTTCTTAAAATTGTATTGAAAGTCGTAACGCCTGCGCGTGCTTGATGCATTTTGAAACGGTTGCCAATCGAGCTAAATACAAAACACAAATTGTTTCAATTCATATACTAATAGATATGCAACAGGTGTAAAAGTGTGCACAGGTGTCTCAAATCTTTTAACTCGCTTACATTTGGATTTACGCAATCGGCAGCAGCTGCTAAGGAACTTTAAGGTAAGTCTTGCAAATTAAATACATAAATCAAAATATATAGACTATACAAAAGTTAAAAAATGAATGACACAAGATAATAATTGATTGAAAAATTAATACAAAATGAAAATAAATAATAATATAAATTAATATCTTAATTAATATAATAAAATTAAATAAAAAACACAACAATAATAAAGTAGAATATGTAATAATAATAAAAAATACAAAAATTCTACAATAAATATAAGACGAACTATTTTAATATTATTGAACAACAAACAATTTTTGGCAAAGCTCTGGCTTTACAATCTACATATGTAAGACATTTGTAAGACTATGTTATATATAACTATGTTATATACTATGGTAAAGTATAGTATTTCTTTTTCTTAGCTTACATACATACCTTTTGGTAAGCATTAAGCATGATGATTCAGTCCATAATTATGCGTTGTTCTGCTTCCTGCCTCTACTTCCTGACATTCTAACGCCCATTGCAGTTCGATTTTCAGTTTGATTTCGTTCGATTTGGCTTTCCGTTTCCATTACCATTTCTCCATTGGCGGCAGCTTGGCTCTCACATCTAGGCATATACATATGTATGTATGTATGTAGCTGTCTGCCTATCTATTTATCTATCTATGTATCTATCTGCACGCTGTATTACTTAATTTCTTTGCTTAATCCGATTTGCGTGCATTGAACTCTTCACTTCTACCTGTATTGGGCATTTTAAAGGTGTGTTTTTCTGCTCAAATTCTCCGATTCTCCAACTTGTTGTTGATTGTTTTACACACACACAAACGCACACCTATATATGTATATATATACATATGTGTTTTTTTTTATTGTTGTTCGACAAAGCGGCTTGTTCTTATTTTCTGGCATTTACTTGATGTGTAATGCTTTACTTCATTCGCTTGCCGAGTGAAAAGGGTTTCTTGGTTTTCTTTGACTTTCATATTCACTTTAGGGATGAGACATTATAAGAATTCCTGGTCTATCTATCCCCTTTTGTATTTGATTTTCCAAGGCAGAGTTACTTGCACTTCGAACGGGTATTATGCAGTCGGTGTTATACACTCCAGCGCAACTTTAATACTTGTTTTATGTTCGCTGAGTTTTTTTCAAATGAGTTCATAATTTGCAATGCGATTCGTGCTTGATCCGAATTGTTGTCAATTGCTGCTTATCGTATTTATTACGAATTAAGTGCAATTGAATATAATTGAATACAATAAAACAAGCCTTTACCAATCGCCACCAAAAAATGTACTTTTTCGGTTATAGAATCCTTCAATGTTATTGTTTCTTTATTTATTAAAAAATAATAATAATAAAAAATTTTTTCAGTTTAAATTATTTTTCAATTTTTATTACTTTGATGGAAGACTTTTATTTCGTTTCCATTTATCTAGAGCTAGATGGATCGAGAGAGAGAGCTATATCTTCAATTGAGGAAACATCGTTTCGCATTAAAACAAATTGAATTTCTTTACGAATTTCCTATCGAGCGTAATTTATTAAAGAGGCTAGGTTGCCTATAGAGCAGGTGGCATGTGGCATGTGGCAGGTGGAATGCGGCGTGCGGCATGTGTGACACGTGACCCATTTAGGGAACAGTGAGCAGGTAGATTAGTTATTCTATTTTTATTTTTAATTTTTGCATAGCTAGCTGTACTTTATTATGTGCCCGGTCTAGCGGTTTTTCAGTTTCTTGTATTTCTTAGCATTTACCATTTGCAAACAAATAAAGCGCAAAATCTTAAAGCCAATTCACTGGCAGAACAAAAGCCCGACCGAAAGCCATTAGCCATTAGCTTGGCCATAGCAAATGGCCAAAAGTCATTAAAGACGCAGAGAAAAAAATCTATTGAAATCGGCTGGTAAAACACGCCTTAAAATATTTTCAGCCAGCGCTGCGCACCTGGTGGTGCAGCAGGTGAGAAAGAGAGAGAGAAGGATGGTGGGACAGAGGCATGCCAATGTAAACTGGTTACAATGCCAGTTAATTATGCGCTTATCAGTTCATTACTGGCTGCTCCTGCTGCTGGTGCTGCTAGCTAGAAGTCCACTTGGTAATTACTAGCCTGCCGCAGTTGCTGCCACTCACCTGGATTGCCAGGCCGTTGCGATTAATCAGAATCCACCGCCATTAGATACAATTTCGAGTGCACAGCACACACACGAGCGAAATACTGGCTTGGCTAACAACATGTTATTACCAGATTCTGATCCAGCTCCACTTCTATCACTTATGCATATATACATATACATATGTAGTGGGTATATGTATGTGTGCGTGTAATGATAAGCCTTGCAGCGTCATCCTCTTAGCGCCCCACTTAGTGCGCACTTTCTCTGCTCTGCCAGCTCTCCTCTTACTGATTCGGGATTCTGATACTGATGTGGCGCAAAGACACTCCCACAATATATACACATATGATTGAGCAAACTATAAATCCTTATGGAAAAAACGAGCTAGGAGAGACATCGACTAATATTAGTTGAGATTTAAGGCTACAATATAAGACTATTGACTTTGATTGGGAAATTTGGATGGAAAATAATGAAATATGAATAGTTTATTTATGAATAGTAATCAGCTTTATCTACAAAAGCCAGCTATAAATCTCTTGTAAACTGAAATATCATAAATAAATTGCTCTATACTATGAAAGGAAATCTTAAGCATGTAATCAGTTGAAATATAATTAGATAATAAACAACTAGGAGTGCTTTGATGGATATCCACTAGGAGATTTCCTGATCTCTTCGAAGAACTGATATTCCGATGCATAAATCTCAATAAACGAAGAGACGGTCAGAGAGAGGATCATTTATATATACCACAGCTCCCCTTCCGATTAAATACATTTAGCAACACCTCAGCCTATAGATATTAGAGACATACTATAAGTCTTCCATCTTCTGCCTAGTCAGCTCCCATTTAAATCATATGCTTATAGCTGCTCACGTGGGTTTTTCCTCTAGTAATTTTTGGCATCAACTTTCTAATGTGTTCGATTCGCTTCCTGCTTAATGGCTTTTCCTTGAATTTCCTTTATCAGCCAGCAGACGCTCCTTCCGCTCGGCCTGCTGCTCCGGCTGCTGCGCTGCCATTGAAGTTTGATGTCGTTGCCGTTCGTCGACGGTCGATGGCTGCATTTCCCACATTTCCCACTCAGGACCACATTTCATAAAGTTTATTAAACTTTAGCCAAATTGTCAAAGCGACAAACCGCTGCCCACCCTCTGACTTGCCCCCCCGGCCCCCTGCTCCGTGCCGCTCCCATTCACTTTTCGTGTTGGCCGCTGTAGGCGCTGCAAACAAGTTCATCAGCATTTGGCCAGGTTTGGAGCAGGCATCAACTTCAGCTACGAGTTTCGGCTCGGCCAGACCAAAACAAACTGCCAGCAACTCGTCTGGTTAGTTAATGTTGATGGCAATGGAAATGCTATTACAATTGCAGTTGCAATTGCAATTGGAAATGGAAATGGAAATGCTTTGAGCCGGCATTGCCTTTGCCTTTGCTTTTGCATTTGCCTTCGCCTCGACCAATGTCTACAAATATCTCTGATAGTTTATAAAAAATGAAAAAAATAAAAAACACTCACTGTCATTCACGCATTTGCAACACAAATTAATTGTTCAATGCATATCTGATTGGGCGCACTTCAATTCCTCGGCTGAGATAGACGCAGCGCCGTTTGGAGAAATTCAAATGCAATTTATGGCACATTATGCAAGCTGTAAAACTCAATCGATTTTCATTTTCAATTTGGACTTAACACTCAACTTAAGATTATGGGCAGATGCCGAGACAAGGAGATGTGAACATTTAGAGTAAGACAGACAGAGAGTGAGAGAGGGACGAAAATTCACTACTGTCTTCGCTAATGATCGCTAATCAGTTCTATTTCTTCGTTTTATATTATATTTACCTTTCTTTCTAAAAAGAGAGTTTTTGTTAAAAGTTATTTAAAAATAATTTTATTAATTTTCATAGTCTTACATATCATGTTTGTCTATTTATAAATTGAAAAGAATGTGTGTATATTAGTTATTAAAATATATATAATAAATAAGCAAAACAATTTAGGTTTTCATTAAACTCACACAGCTTCTTTTATCTAATATTAATTTACCACAAATTGAATTCAAGGTAAAAACTCATTGAAAATTCCCGTTCACCTGCATGAATTCCGCTATAAACAAAAACCTTTGCAACATAAATAAATAAATAACTAAATGCTAAAGAGTATGAATACAAATTGAAATAAAATATGGACATTAATTAAGAAAATGCTCAAGTGCATAACTTTATCAACAACAACAACAACAACCACATTTTTTTTTGCATCAATCAAGTTGAGCGTATAATATGTCACCCAGCATAACTAACTAATCGCCCCTCGCCTGGGGCTTTAACAAGCTGTTGCCCCCACTCCAGTCGAGCGACTCACCTGTAATACACCTATTATAGATCAGTGCCTTATAACGGTAACTTGTCTTCGAGCAGCTGCATTTGCATTGAAAGTTGTCTGACCAAGCAAGCCACTGGCCTAGCCAACAACTCACGCTGGATTCTCTGGCCAGCAATTGAAATTGAAAACGAAATCGAAATCACAGTCAGAGTCTTAATAATTCCTGCTCTTAATTCATAGTTGAGCATGAAAAAAAAAAAACAACAACAAAAACACCAATTCCAAATATGGCTCGGAATGGCATATAAATTCTTGAATAGCTCCACATGGGACTAATTTGTTACATTCTCACATTAATGGTATCTCACTCCAGACATCTAGCGATATTACTGAAATAATTGAAGTTGAAATTAGTTTGAACATTTTTAGATTTGACTCTGCAGTATTTACGTAATTATTCGAAATCTAATAATAATTATTTATATGTGGAATTTTTTTTAGAGCTGAGATGTTACAAAAATCATTAAAGCAAAGATGAAAATATCTGTTAAAGTAATTACATTATAATGGTATAAGTAATATAATATAAC